AAAAAAAAAAAAAGAAAGAAAAAAGGTGAAGGGCTGCGAGCTGCGGTGGGGTGGGAGGGCCCGGGCTGCGGGGAGGGGCTGCGGGAGCCGCGGCAGCGCTTCCTCCCCCGGCCGGCTCGCATCCATCCATCACCCCGGTGCCAAAGGCGCAGGTTATCCTGGCGGTTTCGGGCGCGGGAGAATGTTCTCGTGCTCTGGTGGGAGAGTAAATGATGCTCCAAGTGATTCACCGCCGGGGACAGCTCCAGGTCACCGGGTACCAGCACTAGCACAGCTGGGAAGGGGCTTTAATCAAGATCAGGCTTTGACCAATATAAAATAAAGCACCAGCGTGTCTCAGGTTGATTTTTTCGTGTTTTCTGGGCTGTCAATACCGATGCTGGCGGGCGATGTGACAGTGCTCAGCAGAAAGGCATTGAAGGGAGCAGCTTTTGCCACTTCCTTGCCATCCCTGGTAACCACCACCCTAACACATCATCTTCAAGGCCAGAGAAAACCTGTTTAAATCAAAGTTAAACCCGCTGCAGCACTGCTCAGGCTGAGCTGAACCTCCCTGCCAGGAGAGGCAGGGCACTGATGACCCAGGGCAGGTGGCAGGAGGAGGACATTGCTCACTGCCACGGACGAGGACACGGGGACATGAGCCAGTGGTGGCCACACTCAGGGCAGTGGAAAGAGCTGGGCTGATTGTTTGGGACAGAAATGGGTATTGTTTGTGGCTCCTCACTGGAGGCAGCTCCCTGACCCCCAGGGAGCCCTGTGTCCCACCCTGGGGTGCTGCAGGAGCTTGGCCAGACACAGGGCAGGGATATGGTGACATTTGGGAAGCTGGGGGTGCCAGGGAGGGCTCCTGGCAGGTCCCAGCCAGCCAGGCCAGGCCTGAGCTATTCCATGCACTGGGGGGTTCCCACAACAAAAAAAAAAAAAAAAAAAAAAAAACAATCTGTGAAAGGGGTTTCCCTGCACGGCATCCCCAGTCCAAGAGGGAGAACCAAACAAGCTCCTCTTCTCCTCTTTATTTTTAATTGGCATTGGAGCAGCAGAGGTGGGGTTACACTCTCCAGAGCCCAACCTGCTCTGCCTTTGCTCAGTGTGCAGCAACGCTGTTTATGGACTCAGATTCCAGCCTTCTCCTCTCTCGAGGCTGTGAAGATGTATTTCCTCTTGTGCCATTTCTCCTTCTGGCAAGCAGGCTCCCAGGTGGGTCTGGAAAATGTCAAAGTGGGAAATAAAGTTGTTCACTGAGAAAAAAAAAAAAAAAAAAAAAAAAAAAA